GGTACAGGGTTTCCTGCCTAAGCAGGGGGTTGGACTAGAAGACCTCCAAGCTCCCTTCCAGCTCTATTATTTTATTACAGGTAGTCCTCAACTTAGGATCACAATCGAGCCCAACATTTATGTTGCTAAGCGAGACATTTTTAAAGTCAGTTTTGCCCCATTTTACAACCCTTTCTTGCCACAGAGTTTAAGTGAATCACTGCAGTTGTTCAGTTAGTAGCACGGTTGTTGGGTGTGAACTTGTCTTCCCCGTTGACTTTGCTTGTCAGACGGTCGCACCCCAGGATGCTGCGACTGTCATAAATGTAAGTCCGTTGCCTGGATTTTGGTCACGCAACCAGGGGAATGCTGCAACAGTCACAAGCATGAAAAATGGTCGTAAGTCACTTTTTCAGCACTGTTGTAACGGTCACTAAATTAACTGTTGTAAGTTGAGAAGTGCCCGTATTCTGACATGTGTAAGGTGTTTGTGGCTTCCACTGCTGTCCTGGTAGAAAGGTTTATTTTAAAATAGGCATCAGAAGCTCAATTGTCCAAAAAGTGCTTTTTTTTCAAGAAGCAACTAGACTTTCTGGTTTTCCTTTGAAGATGTTTCGCTTCTCATCCCAGAAGCTTCTTCCACTCTGGGAAATCTCATTATCTTACAGAACTGAAGAAGCTTCTTGGAGGAAAGTCCAGTTGCCTCTTGAAAAAAAAAAAGAACCCTTGGGACAACATTGACCTGGAGGAATGAGAATCTCCATAGACAAAAGCTCACCTCCACATCTGGGAGAGGAGTTCTAAAAGGTGGCTTGGGAAATACCGGTAATCTTCGACTTATCACTGAACACTTAAGGACCATTTGTAGTTACCAAGGGTTCTCCCAAAGGTACTCACAACCTAGACCAGTGTTTCTCAACCTCGGCGACTTTAAGTCCTGTGGACTTCAATTCCCAGAATCCACCAGCACAGCTGGCTGGGGGATTCTGGGAGTTGAAGTCCACAGGGCTTAAAGTCGCCAAGGTTAAGAAACACTGACCTAGACTCACAGTTCCAATGGCTGCCACTTCCCCAAGGTCTCCGGGTTTTGGGTGCTGCACAACTGGCCCTTACTTACAGCTGTTCGCAGTGTCCCACAGTCCCATGACCTCATTTTTCCAATACAATAGATATTCCTCGACTTACAACAGTTCATTTAGTGACTGTTCAAAGTGACAATGGCAGTTTAAAAAGTGGCTTATGACCATTTTTTACACTTACAACCTTTCCAGCACCCCCGTGATCACGTGATCAAAATTCAGACACTTGGCAACTGGTTCATACTTACGACCGTTGCTGTGTCCCAAGGTCACGTGGTCCTCTTCTGCGACCTTCTGACAAGCCAAGTCAGTGGGGAAGCCAGATTCACTTAACAGTCAAGTTACTAACCTACCAATTGCAGTGATTCATTTAACAACCGTGGCAAGAAAGGTCATAAAATGCGTCCAAACTCATAACAAGGGTTCACTTAACAACAGAAGTTTTGGGCTCGGTTGTCGTAATCCAAGGACTGCCTGTATTTTTTGGCTAAAAACAGGTATTTACTTCCAGTTTCTAGCCAAACACACCAATTGGGACAAAAATAGTGCAAAATAGGTCATAAAATTGGATCAGCCACTTGTGTTTCTTGATTTATGATTGTCACAATACGCAACTGGAATTCCAGGCTCCATTACAGTGGTCGTAAGTCGAGAACTATCTGTAGCAGTTGGACCAGGCCTGGCATGGGTTTGAGTGGCCTGAACTGAAGCCATGACGTAGCTGCATCTTTCTTTTCCTTCACCTTTTGAAAGCAGGATAAATTGAACCCAATTTCGTAGTCAGTTTTGTAGGCTCAGAAAGCAAAGAACTGGGACTTTGGAGACCCCGGTGCAGAACGGGGTCCCTAACAATCTAGTTTTCGGGTGTGTCTTGAGATGTCCCTTTTTGCCTGGTCTTAAACAGGAATGGCTTTGTTGCTGCCAAAAGCATGATGGATCTTCGGTATCAGCTGACCGAAAAGGGACAGTCTTCCAGTTTTGCTACTTCGGAAAAAGGTGCTTTTTTCTCTCTCTCTCTCTCTCGATTTGAAATTGCGAGAGTCTGATTTCAAGATTGGGGAAATGAAGCTGGGCCTGGATTCCCAAGATTGCTGGCTGTGATTTCTATTGGAGGGACGGAGCCGGAAGTAGAGGTTACCGGGTAGATTCCCATGCTGAAAGGCTCCATCGCTGGAGGCTTTCAAGAAGAGATTGGACACCCATTTGTCTGGAATGACAGAGGGTCTCCTGCCCGAGCAGGGGGTTGGAGTAGAAGACCACCAACTCTCTTATTCAGCCTTTCTTTTGTGATTAAATCACCACTGGGCGATCTTACCTGGCCAGCAGAGCATAAGGGAGATTCCGTGGGGCGAGTGCTTATTCGGAGAAGGATTTGTGCTTGTGTCTGCAGCAGCGATTGTTCTCCATGGGGGGAGGAAGTGGGGGGTGTCATATGGTCCTGCATCTGACCTGGGGTGCCCTCTGCTCTTTCAGACCCCGAAGAGTTTCTGAATCTGATCATGCATCGCATTCTTGGACTGGAGCCACTCTTGAAACTGCAGTAAGTTTCTGGCGCCCCCCTTCCATCCTCCCTTGGGCTGTCGTGAAGGGGGGGGGGGAGGAATAGCGTTGGAAGGGGCTCCGTGACCTTTGAGATACGGTCTAGTGTGGCGATGGCAAATGTTTTCAGTGGTCATGGTTGTCCCAAAGGTGTTTTTTTCAGGAGGCAACTGGACTTTCTTGTGGGGGG